AGCGATTGGTGTAATCGATATATTGATTAGTGATCAATATTCAGATTAAATTTGGTGAAACCTCAATTCCTTGTGCCCCAGGGCGAAGTCTATATCCCATTGAAGCTTGGCAGTGTGATGGCTGACCACATGAAATGCCCAAAGTAGTATTATGCCAAGGATCAACGTGTGAACCACTGCGCAACCGCGCGCGTACGATCTTGTCAATCCCATGTAGTACCAGGAAGAAACTAGGTTTTCTATGCCTTCCCGTCCCCACGTAGAGCTTTGTATCAAGGAACAAAGAGTTTTGAAGGTAGTTATTGTTATATTTTCTGATTTTGAGAAGCTAAGCAATCGAATTTCACTAACCTTAGCCTCAGAAATGTACTGAGTTGTGTGGGTTTGCTCGTGTTCGGGTAAGCTACCGATTTTGTACTTTTCGGCCAGAATACGGGCAGCTATTGAGTGTCCCACGTCTTCGAAAACGTCAGTGGCGTCACATCCGACCTGAAATTGTACATGTTTGGTTTGTGAAGATATGGGTCTACTAGATTATTTTTGCTCTTTGGTCATTTATTTACGACTTCTGGTGTTGCAGTTTTACGCTAATCGATGATAGCAATAAATGCCCAGTCACGCGACTTTTAGATGGCTGACAGTGTATTGGCAACAGATCGTCTGGGATGGGCCACTGTGACCGTACGTGGGAATCCAGACAGCTCGGGGTTCTGAGGGTCTACAGACTACTTGGACTCGATCTCGTTAACGTCGGCAATTTTTTTACTTTTTTAGTACTCTTGGATCTGCGTGGAGTTCTATGACCTTACTGGCCTCAAAAATTCCAGCTTTCCACGCATGGTTAGTGCCTCACCTACTCCAAAGTCCCCTCCCTCTGAAAAGCCCATACCCTGGCTCGCCTCATGTTTTTGCACCTTGGCAGTCGCTGTCCCCTTCGTTACAGAGTTTCACACCAGGACCATGTGCTCTTCATGTAATTCAGATAGGCTCTATCAGTTCACAGCGCGCCATAAGCTTTTCACGTGAGTTCCCCCAGATGGCCAAGCCCATACCTACAGATAAGGGCGTCCTGCCGTTAAGGCAAAAATTTGTTTGAATGATTATTCTCGATCTTCTTAGTCTTCTTACAACTTCTGTTTTCGAACATAACAGTTATCGACTCTTCTCTTGGCGGGTTAGGAAACACCTATATAAACGAACAGGCTCATCACATTGAGGCGGCACTCTGCCGTCCTTAACTTACCATCTCCCTTAACTCTCGCAGTTTCCCTAGGATCTGCGTCGAGCGGGAAGTTATTTGGTATATAGCGCTCGTGAAAAGCAAAAAAGTTGAGCAACGAAAAAAATTATTCACAAGGCTGAATACGACCCCCTTCCTCCTGCCGCGGCGCGGTTCAGCTCCAGCCGGACCGAATAATAACCGTCGACTTTCACTCTAATGTACTATGTATTTATTCCCCAACGGCCCCTGCCATGATTCAGATGCGATTCGCGGCGCCTAGCGAATTTCAACGGAACCAAACACGTGAGGCTCGAGTTCTGCTGACGGTGCGCTTACGATAGGTAACGTTCATAGTAGATGCACATTATTGATCCACAATTCGTACACAATAAAGTGGCTGAAAATGACGGGCTCATAGCGGAAAGTTGGGCGTACAAATAGACCGCCAACTACCTCATTTCCGGAGCAACTATTCACGCCACTTTTAGTTGCCTCCGCGGATGCATGCGAAAAGCGATCACCTATCGGGGGGCCCTCAGAGTTTTGTGGCAAATTAGTGAGGAACCGACAGCGTAGGGGTTACAGCGAGTTCCTGCTCTTGCAGGTAATTTTTGAAGGGTTCTCCAGCTCGCGGGGGCTCGTCTTTTTGACCTACTTTCGCCCAGCCATATAGAACCAAGAATTTTGACAGGGACTTCGCAAGTACTCACATATTCGAGGAGGATTTCCATTCCACCTGGATGTTCTTGTAGGAAATTTGTCACGTCAATGACATCGTTACGAATAATCATCCAGGCATCATCGGATGTACAGTGCATCGAGACTTCACATCGTGGGATTTCTCTACAGGACATATCTGGAACGAAATAGTACTGAGAGTGGGGGTGCCACATAATAAGAGGATCAGTTATTGAGTAACATAGCATACGATAGTTAAGGATACGGTAAATATACGGTAAGATTAGGATGGTGAAAGTAATAGCAATATGAACTAAGGACGAGCAAATGCCAACGTTTAGAGAGGAAAGTATTCAGCGTTTAAGAGTTCCCAGTGTTCCCGTAGCTAGCGCTGATAAGATAAGGAGGTGGTAGTGAGAACATCGATTCCTTAGGAAACAAAGACCAGGGTAAAGATTACTGGCAAGTAAATCAATGAAGAAGAGCAGGAAAAAAGCGAACCATGGCTGCATGTGATGAATTACGATGTGGCTGCGCCAGTACTTCGTACCTTGGAAACCCGTTTAGATAAGGTGGTGCGTATCACGCACGTGGATGACCCAGAAACTGTCGAGGGCACCCCATGCACTTCTGGTAGTCTCCCACGGTGGCTAGCATTTCCAGCCAATGAATTCGTCGCAGAAATTACGGTAGAAGTAAGCGATCGATACCGATTTCGCTTTTGACAGTCACAGTTCTGGACGTGGAACGATTACGATTGACGCCTCGGTAATCATATACACGGTATCGGAGTACATTGCAGTGCGAGCGTCCCTGACAAGCTTTTATACCGTAAAATGAAAGACTATGGACGCAGTATGGGAGAGGAGAAACGTCAGTGAGAGACGCAGAACGAATGACAGACAAGGAAAGAACGCAGTTCATCACCTGTGCACCGGAGAACGCAGCCGTGTGCCGAGGCCGCTTGCACCCAAACGTGATAAGACCCTGAAGAATTCAGTGAATTTTGGGAATTTTTGCATTACTAACGACACTGCACAAGCTGTGGAGCGCCATTTGGCCATGGAGCACGTTTGGAGCTCACTTAAATATTATTTCCTTCTGAAGGGGTTGTCATAACGTCGTTGTTCACGTGAATTCTATCAAGGATGCATACAGTGCGCCGTGGTGGTGGTCGTGATTGATGAGGACGATTAATGAATGGCGACAGTGTCGGCTGCTGAGCGCCACGAACTTCGCCTATCAACTAGCGTTTCGACGCTCGCTCCACTAGCAAATATCATTATTTTACTGGATAATAATCACAGGACCTTTACTTTAAAAACATATTTTTATCGTAGTCAAATAGCGCATGATTTAGCACACCATAATCGAGAGACGCTGAAAATTTGCACGTCTGTGGGTTAAGAGTGAGTACGCTGACAACGGGGCACCGCCTGTTAGTGCATATTCTGCGTCTCTGCCTTTGACCCTCAATTCTTTGCCCTCTAGGCCGTCCGAATCCTGTTGCAGGGTAAATGAAGGCAAAACTGAATACAGCTAAACTGCGTGTAAGCCTTTCTGCTGGTCCCCTTCACTACTTTTTTTGAGCGTCCTTCCGGGAAGCGGTCCATCCTTACTGTGACACAGGACGGTTTAGAGGGGGGGGGGACATTTTGCACTTTCGCTGCTCCACTCGTCCCGGTTTACAAGTCTGGTGAAACCACCGTGGTGAACCCTGTGAACTCTGGTGAAGCTGGAGCAAGCCCGTCGAGCCACCTGGTAGAACCTGTCAACTTTTGTAAGCTCCTGAAATAGCTCTCCAGATAGCTCGACACGTCGACATTGAGTAGCAAAAGGGCAAAAAGTCCCCCCCCCCCCGTCGCCAAAATGCCCCCCATCGCCAAAATGCCCTTGATACGGTGCTGCATTCGCGTTACTCATCGTCCTACATCAAGCTAATTTGGAAATAAAATATTCAATTTGATGCTGCCACCAAGCCACGCTAGTCCAGGGCTCAGATATCCGGTTGAGAATGGGAGGTCATGTGAGCGCTGTGTAGAACAACGTTTGTTCTCAGCCAAGGCAGGAAAAATAGCTAGCAAAAAGGGCAAAAATGGTGTTGATACCACGGTCAGGCCCAGACTGACAGCCAGGCAGCTGTGGAATTCAGGACCTACAGTCAATGAAAATCATTAGGCAGAACTTCGCTGAAATCAAGGTCAAGGAAAGTTGTCCTTGGTATTGAAAGGTGTTTCATATGAAGAGAGGACTCTCCGATGCCGTGGGATTAACGCTACCGAGAAGCAAAAGAACCTTTTGAGGTGAAGCACTGTCAGCAGGATGTCCACCGGTGGGCACTTCATCCACGAATGCGCTGTGCATCCTTCTTTGATTCAACATTCTGGAATGATCGACAGAAAAAAAACCGTTGAATCGACTTCAGAAGAGAGGAAAGCCATCCACCTATTTCGCTCGATGGCAGTTCTTCTTAGTGTTTGGAGGGTAGGTAGGATGGAGGCTTAAAGGTGGGCGTTGTAGCGGGAGCAGCTTTGAGGGGGAGGGCGGTATTTTGCAAAATTTTCCCAGCGGCAGGACGTGCTTCGGTCGTATCCAGCCATGGTAGTGCAACGTGGCGCTCTTAGCAGTTCGCGCAACACTCTACTTACTACTTGTTTGTGATGAACTCCTTGGGCAGCCTTTGTGACTATTCCTACTCCTGCCATCCGAACCAAGCATCTGGTTTCATTGAGAACGTCTCGGCTAGGCAACTTCGTCACTGACTTCAAGCGAAGACGTGAGGGGAGCGAGTTTTTCGAGTAGGATACCTTTGGGTAAGAGTGTAGTCGTTAACCAGTTACCAGATACAGTTACCGTTACCAGTCTCATTTCCACTACTTTCTTTCTAATAAGCTATATAGGGGCAGCTCTTCTCATCGAAGTTTGACCCATGTAGAGAGCTATTTCGTGAGCTTACAAGAGTTGACAGGTTTCACCATGGTGGCAACGAAGTTTTTTACATTAAAGATCGAGTTCTCGAAAGGATTGCTAGACCAGTCAACAACTCCATTTCCACTACTTCTCCTAATATACTCATATCGGAGCTCTCCCATCAAATTCGAACTATGTAAAAGCCATTTGTGAGCTTACAATGTGATAGTTTACCATAATGTTCGCACAACCTTGCATTGTCCCACAAGAGGTTACAGGTTCACGTCCAGACTGGAAATCGAACTCACGAAGCAGCCGAAAGTTGCAAGGGTTGCCCCCCTCCCGTCGCCACTTCTGCCAGTAATAGGTAGTAATGAACAGAGACATAGGTGCAGCTGAAAGATCATAACCACTATCACGACCAGTCCCTACACACCTTGAGAGGGTCCTTCAATTGAAGCTTTCCCACAAAATTGGTGCTATCTCTTGTGGCGCTAGCCAGGTTTATTGGAATAGGGTTAAGCCACCTTTGGGGGCATCTCTTTAGTGGTTTGAGGTGTTTCGGCTACGCATTTTCTGCCGGGCTACTCTCATATTCAAGCTTAGAGGGTGAAATTATCACTGAGCATATATTCCATAGCCATATCCAACTCCATGGGTGAATTTCAAGAAATGTAGAGTACAAATCTAAAATTCTCTTCTCGGACCCTATGAAATTCCATTTGTACTGGTGCATCAGTGGATAATAACGTAACAGATGAGGGGCGCCTTAAAAACGGGATTGATCAATGCTGATCGCTATCTATTTGCTTGCGTTTCAGCGCGAGAAATGATAAGCGAAATGTTGGGGAAACCGCCTGGGGGAATCCCTCGACATGAATTGAAGACACGGCCGTTTCAGAAGCCGGTTCATTGTCACGTTTACGTCGAAACCCCCAAGCGATTGCTTTACAGCGTCAAGGGCAACCCCAGATGCTTTCTTCTATACTCATACATAACTTACACGGTTAAGGGTGAAAAGGATAAAGTCTTCGCCGTTGATCAATCCCTTTGTGGGATGCGGCACGCATTCTACTTCCATTCAGAATCGTAGTGGCTTATTGAATGCGATGTGGCCTATACAATGACTTGCGGAGGCCAGCCGATGTATAAGTCAGTGTTTTATCCCCCCAGACGAACTGATACCAAT